GATATAAATATATCAGAAATCTACGCTTAACACGACAGTACAAAGATCCACTTTTACAAGTCAACAAAAATGTGATTTGAGCTTTATAATTTCATAGGAAACAAAGTTAAATTCATCCAGAATATTTGTATTTGTTCGTAAAAGTTACCAACTACATATAAACCCACTCATTTTGAAGAAAGCTGACTCAACGCAATAATGATCCGAAAATGTTGTTGTCTCTAATTTACCTTCGTAGTTTTGTATCTTTGTTACTCTTAGGAATGGGTACATGAGGGAGAACTTGACTCTACTAATTGTATAAAATGAAACGTTCCTATTCTAAATAAATACGACATTAAAAGCGATTAAATTATCATGCAGATCAACAACATAAGATTTATTTTCGAGACACGCGGATTAAATACATTTATAAATTATATATTAACACATCGTAATATACATTTATAAGAAGTGCAAAGAGAATATTTATACAACGCATAACTGAAACCATTCTACTAGCTAAACTGCAGCTGTTCTACAAGCATTCTTACCATTCTTCTATTGAATTTAGTTGGGCATACCAAACAAATCATCTGGACATTTCGAAATGACATTTTGTTATGCCCTAACCATATGTCACGTGATTACCCATCTTGGTAAAATTGCATTCTTGGTATATTCCAGTATTTTGAATATAATTACGCTAACTTCAATAACGATCAATGTGCGCTACGACATTTACGTTTCAGTTAACAACTGACCTCATGGATCAACATTTATAAAAGTGGTCCCCAGATATATAGAAGCAGGTCAGCCATGATCTCTTTAACACATAATTTCAAAACTGACTTCTTGCTTCATACCTAAGTAGCAGACACTGAACACAGGAGACAACAACTGCCAATGGTGCATATTTATAGTTAAAAGTATCTAATATTAGACATATATGGCAAAGGGAATGCTATATAACCTAACAATAATAAATACAATTTATTTAACCTAAAATTATGTTCATATTTATTTATGCACCTATGCGAAATCGCAATTTTAGGATTTATATAACATTTCATTACACTGCACAAGCGGTATTTCGACTTCAGATGTGACAAAATATGATTATAGTGAAATATCATCCGTTAATAAACAAATTAAATTTAATATCTTTTTCTATTCACGTTAATGGCCCACAGTCAACGTTTCTTCTAAGCCAGGGATGCAAGTGCACAAGTCATGGTGTCTTTCAAGTAGCAACTGGGTTTGGTTTGGGCAACCCGGGGGTGGGAGATAGCAATTTTCGAAAAAATGCCCATAAGATACATTAATTTTATAAAGTCTTAGAAGCGCTTGAGACTTGAGACTCGTGTGCTGGTGAGAAACAGTCGCTGCGTGGTCGCGCAAGCGAATATTGCCCCTAGTTATCACACAATGGCATACATGTTTGCCATGAGGAGCACAGAAAGCTACACATCTCAATCGAAGTAGACTTACAGCAAATAAAGTATGGCAGTACTATTGCAAAAAGGCCAACGAGGGAAAGTAATGATTCGTTAATGTTAACAATATATCAAGGATGGAAACTAGACTGTAGATGCTCCTTTTCAATAAAACAGCCAAGGAAAGTAAAACAACAAAAAGGTTGTGAAGAGAATTATTGCAATGCAGAATAGTGATTTCGTTCTTACACGCATAGCTGCTAGGATCGTTGTTTAATGTATGTAAATATTAATATAAAGAGTTTCGGTAAAAATAAAGCTGTCAGGAACATATCAGAGAAGGTCTATCCGCTCTCAGCCCCTTTACCAACCCCCGAAACGGAGGTCCTGCCATCTGCTGTGCCATCATTCTATACAGTGTGATCACCGAGTGGGTTATATGACGGAGGCTATAGAATTCGACTGAAACATAAGTTAGAATTTGTTGTTGAGCTCATTCAATACAGCTGAGCGAGATTACATAATGCTCTTATATTGTACAGCCTCTGTGGTCTAGCGGTCAGAGTTCCTGGCTACAGATCCAGAGGTCCGGGTTCGATTCCCGGCGCTACTGGATTTTCTGAGAAGCAGTGGGTCTGGAACGGGGTCCATTCAGCCTCATGAGGATAACTGAGGAGCTATGTCAAGGAAATAGCGGCTCCGGTCTATAAAACCGAAATTAACGGCAGTGGGGATAAGTTGCGCTGACCACGAGACACCCTCTATTCGCTAAATTTTACACTAACTTCGCCGACAAGAGGCGGTCGCTCGGTCAGTATAGTTTACTTGCGGACTAAAACCACGGAGTTATTTTCATACATTGCAGAATTTCTTACAAGTCCGAAATTGTTAAAAATTATTTATTTTCATGAAACATATTGCAGTGATTTTAAGTGGCTCCAGAAAGACTTTCCTTGCTCCATTACAAGATCCTTAACAGAATATACATTAATATTTATGTTACAACACCAATCTACGACGTTTTGTGCTGTTATATGTAACGCAATATCTACTTCCGTTTCTCTGCAGAAAATAATTCTCAAAGCTATTCATCTGAACTCGAAATTCATAGTCAGAACGATAAAATTATAAACATTCGTAGAAACATTTCTGAGATTAAAATACGTTGGATACAATCATATTGAAATTTCCACTAGTCTGAGTAAGTTAAATGAAATGATTTGCAAGAAATCAGGTCTCTATATTACATATTACTCCTCCTTCTATGCCGTGATATTGAATTGTATCATTTCAAAAATTTGGTTTTAAATTACTAAATAAAAGCGGCCTCCGTAGTCTAGAGGTAACGTTCCCACCTCATGACTCGTGGTACGCGGGTTCAAACCCGGTGGAAGTCGTGGAATATTTAAGGGCGGAAAAATTCAGGGAACAAGTCCTCCGGGAGGGACTTTAAGCCATGGGTCCCGTGTCGTAGCTTCACGGCACGTAAAAGAACCTCATATCTCCAAAGGAGGTCACTGAGCCAAATTACGGACATTTCCCGCCCAACAGTAGTCTCTAACGCCTCTGATAGATGGGGGAAGCATTATAGATACCGCCAAGCCAGTAGAGGCCGAACTCGCTGGCTCGTCCGGACTGATGGTACGCACCAATATCGGTAGGGTATAGAGACTGGTAGAATATCATAGAGGGAAGCACAATGGACCAATACTGCTCTAAGTTCATGGGGAAACCCACCCTCTCCAATAACTAACTAACTACTAAACAAAAGTTCGCTGCTCTGTACTGTATAGCGTGATGATGTTACTCCAGCACAGTAATAGTCCAGACCTGTTCAGAAACTGACTTGATTAAGAATGGCTTCAGATTCTAAATCGATTTAAAATTTGTATATTCTGCAGAATGCGGGGTTGTCGTCACCCGATAATTTTGTTACAGCAAACTATATTCGCCTCCCAGTTTACTTGATTTTTTAAAATGAATTTTGGCGGAAAATTATATATTTCACACACAAATCCAGGTTATAACTGGAATCTTCCTATATATTTAACAAATATGGTCCCTTGAACACTTTATACGTCTATATAAACAGTTACAATGAATATATTCCTGTAAGTTTTCCCTAAAATTAGAATTACATAGAGCTCCTTATAAGGTAATATTGCATACATACTGTAATAGCAGGATATTATTTGTATTTCCCGCATATTTTCCATCATTAAAATTGTAATAGACCGTATGTTAACGTAACAAGAGAATATTTAAAAAAAAATATTACAGACCAAACAATCGCCATTAAATGCAAGTGTGCAACGTTTTAATATCGTTGAGACAAAATTGAGTTTATTAACTCCGTCATGTTCATGTAAATTCTTGTAGGGAAAATTTCGACATTTTATTGACTGACTTAATGATCTTGAGAAAGTAGCTTAATTACTTTTGGAATAAAGAATTTAAGCAATTTTGGTCCCTTTAATTTATATTAATTTCTTAATTTAATTCTTCTTTCGACCCTAAATTTTGTTCTAAAACAGATTGTAGCTTTGAGGTTTATTTTTCCTTGTAACTAAGCATAACGCTATGAACGTGTTTAGGGCCGTGAAAGAAGTTCCATCCATCTTGGAACTACATAAAAGGAGCCAGATTCATGTATCAACCTCTTTCTTCTTAAGGGGGAAAAAATAACTAAACCTATGGGACAGAAATCTGGGTACACCCAAAAGCCGGTCTTGATTTCGTGTCCTGCAGAGAATATAACGACAGTAATTCAGCAGTCTAACACTTTACTAACAGTACTATCATAATTTTTAAATTAGGTAACATAACATTAATTTTTACCCTACAAACTACAAAGATAATAATTTGCTTATAAAGGAACTGTTTCTATCTCATTTCAAATAGGATTAAACCAAAGTCCTAGATTAAATGGGGATTCTGGGGGAAGAGTAAAGGGCATTTGGACACTGTGCTTCGAGTCCGGTTTTCAAATATGAATAATTTTACTATAGGATTCTGACGATGGTGTATAACACACTGATATGTTGGGATTTTGGACTTTATCCATCGTCCTGGTTTTTAAGATAACAAATAAAAACACGACGTTTCGGAAACTGGATCTGTTTCCGTCCTCAGGTGAAGGAAAACACCTATTCAGTTGGGTCCCTTAGAAAGAGCTAGCCTCAATCACAGTGATTGAGGCTAGCTCTTAGGTAACATAACATTAATTTTTACCCTACAAACTACAAAGATAATAATTTGCTTATAAAGGAACTGTTTCTATCTCATTTCAAATAGGATTAAACCAAAGTCCTAGATTAAATGGGGATTCTGGGGGAAGAGTAAAGGGCATTTGGACACTGTGCTTCGAGTCCGGTTTTCAAATATGAATAATTTTGTTATATTTTAGCGTCCTGTTGCACTGATTTAAGTCCATGATTTATTTTATCCGTCTTCTAGTGCATACATTTATTTATCCCCTCTTTTCACTCTCACAATCACAGTGATTGAGGCTAGCTCTTTCTAAGGGACCCAACTGAATAGGTGTTTTCCTTCACCTGAGGACGGAAACAGATCCAGTTTCCGAAACGTCGTGTTTTTATTTGTTATCTTAAAAACCAGGACGATGGATAAAGTCCAAAATCCCAACATATCAGTATGAATAATTTTGTTCCTTAATAGAGTAATTTTGCTTGTGTTTATGCTAGTGACTCAGAGAGCAAAGTTTTGACGAGGATGGATAATGGGTTTACGATTGGGAGCAGCCAAGAGCGTGACATTTTCGTTGCAAAGCAGCCTTCAATCACTTTCCCGGCTGGTCCTCAGCCAGAACATCGTCGGCCAGGTTTTGAATTTCCTTCCACGACAGCTGTATGTCCCGAGACTCGCTGAATCTCGAACAGATAGCCAGGCGCAGGAAATATATGTCACCGATCTTGGATGGCACCAGATGGATCACACCATGGCCGTTAATACGCCTCAGTAGATTTTCATTCCTCTCATTGGAGCCCTGAAACGTGACGCACAAACGAGGCTCTGAGTACCGAGTTGAAGAGAATAATAACTATAATCAGTATGGAAGAAATTAAAATAGCATGTTCACATTAGTTAAGCTTTAGTTTAGATCATTATATCTATGTTAAACCTGATTCAGGAGGAAATTAAGTGGAGATTGAACTCCGGCACGGACAACACAGAAGATACAGTTCCATTGTTGCGTACCTCAGACCACGCAGAAAACAAGTCATATGATAGCTATCTCGCTAGTCCATTGGCGCGGTAACTGTTGCCTAGTAACGAGCTATAAACATTCGTCATATTGTTGCGTGCGCGTATCGCGAGGTGTTTATCGAGCCGTTGTCTGGCAATGCGTTTAACTGTCACAATATTACAGGGTTATTTTCTTGATATGGAGCAGTCAAACCCAGTCCCTAAGGCCTATGAAATATGCCTAAGAATATTTCCATAGAAATTAAGTTCGATAGTATTATTATTATTATACTTGAACAGACCCTATATGTTTTTCTTTCTCACCACATAATGGTTGGCGTGATTACACTTCCTGGCTACAGATCCAGAGATCCCGGGTTCGATTCCAGGTGCTACCAGATTTTCTGAGAAATAGTGGAATGGGGTCCACTCACCCTCGTGAGGATAACTGAGGAGCTATTTCAAGGAAATAGCGGCTCCTGTTTATAAAACCGAGATTAACGACCGTGGGGATCCGTTGCGCTGACCATGTGACACCGTCTATCTGCAAAAGTTGGCGCTAACTTCGCCGACAAGCGGCGGTCGCTCGGTCGGTATAGTTCGCTTGCGGACTAAAGGCCATGGAGTATATTTTGTTTTGTTCCCTTATTTTGTTCGTGCGCACTTTATAATTGGCCTCCGTATATTTTAGTAGGCAAGCAAATAAACAACTAACTTAACTGAATGATTGTAAATTAAAAAAAAAAATCTGTGGGATTTTATCTACAAGTTCTGTACTGGTCACCACAAACAGTTCGCTTTCGGCACTTACAGATGCTGTGGTACAAATGAACGTACCTTGAGTCTGAAACAGACAAGACCAAGTACAACTTCTGAGACGATTTCGAACCGGCTATCCTTGCGGACGAGGTCCTCAAACTCATGAGCTAGAGCCACGTGTTTCCTTATGAAGGCCTGCAGGTTGCTGACTCCATATAGCCTCAGCACGAACCACAGTTTCAGAGCCCGGAACCTACGTCCCAATGGAATCTGCCAGTGCTAGAACACAAATAGCCACACACATCTGCAATGCACAGCGTTAATATCTGGAACTTGTGGGTTCCATTAACCCACATCGCAAAAGGACACGTAGTCATTGACCCTGGATATGCGCTATGTTATGGAGCCCAATGGTTCATCACCATTTTTACAAAAGTCCTTCACTGAACACAATAATGATATTACTATTAACCATCGTGTTCCGTCTAACGCAACACAGAGAATGTATAACATTCAATTTGTTTTATTAAAATCACAACATATTTCTACAATTTTATCCGGTCATCATCAGGTGAATACAAATGCTTAACAAGTGCTCTATTGTAAGATTTGAGGCTTTCACGGGGGTGACTATGAAGAAAGTAGTCTTCTGGGATTTGTCACCGTGTATATGTGGTGTTAACCGACGTTTCGGAGGAACGTATCACCTCCATCTTCAGGGTAGAAGAAAAAATATAAGAAATCTGTAAGCGAAGAGACCGTGAGAACCAGACCAGTCTGCTTTTACCGGTTCTCAAGGTCTCTTCGCTTGCAGATTTCTTATATTTTTTCTACCCTGAAGATGGAGGCGATACGTTCCTCCGAAACGTCGGTTAACACCACATATACACGGTGCCAAATCCCAGAAGACTGCTTTCTTCAAGTGCTCTATTGAATTGCAGAACGTTTTACCTCTCATATGGGCCCATATTTTGCAATTCAATAGAACACTCCTTAAGCATTTGTATTCACCTGATGATAACCGGATAAAATTATAGAAAAATGTTGTGCTTTCAATAAAACAACTTGAATGCTATACGTTCTCCTTTTTGCGTTAGACGGAACATGATAATTGAATAGTCTGACCAGGCAACCGGATGCATTCCATAAAGATTGATATTACTACGTATATTTCAACATTCTGTTGCATTGACACATCACTTGTCCACTTGCTTCCGTGTCAATACAACACACACTTGCAATTTTAGTTTTTAAATTCTTAAGGGATACACATCGGACTAAAGTAAACTACGCATAAAGGAACACAGCGTAGACGCCGCAATATGAAGGTAGCGTGAGTGAAGCGTGGGTCTACGTTCTCATATAAAGACGACGTGTAAATGTATGTAAATATATTGACGTAGGAGCGGATGCAGCGCGGAGATTTCACTCAATTAACAGCTGCCTGAAGATGGCCTTGTAGGGCCGAAACATATTGCAACAGTTAAATAGAATGTGAATTTAATGATATTAATTTTAAATGTGATTGTAAACGGCATTTTAGAAATAAAAGTTTTTATTCCTTTAGAGACGGAAACACGTAGGCACGTGACAGTTGCCAGAATACGGCCTTGTAGGGCCGAAACATATTGCAACAATTAAATAAAATGTGAATTTAATGATATTTTATTAATTTTAAATGTGATTATAAACTGAATTTTAAAAATATAAGTTTTTATTCCTTTAGAGACGGAAACAAAGGTACATGTGACAATAATGATACATTTGAATTAAGTTCACAACCTGCCATGTTTCTGTAAGACTAATTTCAGTAATACCAACCCACCTACACTTTTCTGATGTGTTCTCTTAAGGTGTTCCGACCAATCTGTTTATAGATCGATCCTTTTTCGATTCTTGTTACTTATCTCAGGTTACTCTGTTCCTCCCGCCTTTATCATCCTAACAATATTAGGCGAACAATACAAATTATGAAGGAACACGAGTGTTTTCTTGTAACAACAAGCTTCTAGGGAAAATGTATTAAACCTATTCAAAATGAAAGAAAAAGAGGTGACTCGAGAAAACCGCATAACGAATTACTTTAAAACTCATATTTTTCACCAGTTATTATTAGCGTGATCATGTCAAAATTGTTGCGTTGGGCGGGGCAAGTAACCAATATGGTTGATATGAGAAATTCATACACAAGTTCAGTGGTAAACCCGAAAGGATTATAATATTAAAGTGAATGTTGGAAGAAACACGACGTTAGTGTGTGAACTGGATTCATCTGACGTAACAAACAGATCAGTAGCGGATTTTATGACGATGACGTGAAACTTCGTGTTTCATAAATTAACACCGCTCTTTTCCAACACCCGCCTTTGTAATATCAGCTCAGTCGGAATGGTTATCCCTGCTACACCTGTTTCTACCTTAGGACAGTGTACGTTGGCCACTGCAAGTTGTCCAACTAAAATAATGGTCTAGGATTGATCAGCGCCAAAACGGAGGGGAAAATTCTTGGCTAGCTGAACGACTATTAGCTTCTCAAGAAGAGCTCTACTCAGTGCTGTAAGTGTTAAAATAATTCACATATCATCCATTTCATCTAAATTAATCCTGCCAATACACGCATTCTTTCGTGAAAGTTTACAAATAAGATTTCAGCTTAATATTTGTTTTCCCCCTTGGCACTACAGCCCCAGTGGGCCTAGGCCTACCTCCATGAACTTCTCCGTTCACTTCGGTTTTTCTAGATCTTACACATTCGGTAGGACTCTTTGGGCGGGTGATCAGCTCGTCGCAAGGCCTCTACCTGTACACAAACACAGAAAAACGCAAACATACAAACTAAACATCCATGCCGTGAGTGGGATTCGAACCCACGATCCCGGTTTCCAAGCGAGCAAAGAGAATACATGCCTTAGACCGCTCAGCTACCGTGACCGGCCAGCTTAATATATAGAAACATTATTTCTGAGTCAGAGGAACGATTTATGCCTTCAATATTTCTACAGCTGACTTGTAATCTTGATTAATCGGTGTAACAAATCTTGTTTAATGAAAATTGATCGAAGCTACAATTTTGTACTAGAAGCCAGTCAGTGATAATTTTTCTTACTCACCCTGTAGTCAGGTGCTGCCCCTTGCTGGTCATGCTTCAAGTACAGTGGGTCCACATTGAAAGCGTTTACAACGTACGTAGGATCTTTCAACCTGAAACCAAACACAGATAAACAAAGCCCTCATAATTCTTAGTCTGAATATACAACTTCTTCCTAGATAAATTTGATTAATTTAATGCAATTTAGATGGAAATTACTGCTATTATATTTTCCTTTCCACGATCAGGAATTTAGACTCTATAATTAACTGAAAAATAGCGGGGTAACCTATTTTGTTACAAATTCAATATTCACTTGGAGAGACTGATGAAAACCACGAAGTCTCAAACAAAATACCCAATCCTGTGATTTATTCCAAACATTTACTTTTGTCACATCTTGTTTCTGATTTTCATAACATTGATTTGTCTCATGGGAGGTCAAGAATTTGTAATTTTGAATTCATACTGCATAAGCGGAATTTTAGAACATGTATGATGTAATCACTTCTTGTTATACTGCATTATACATGATTCAGTAGACTCAACAGCCTTAATGTATGTTCCTTTCCGTGTTATGCGCGAGATATGTAGCACAGAAATACTGACCATTCTGTATTAACTCATGGTGTTTTTGACAATATCCGTCCAAGAATATTCCTTTATCTCAACTGTAGATAAGTTATCTGTGGATCTCCAACGGTACCAATTATACTAGAACGTCCATTATCCGAATTAGTTAGTGAAGAAGGTGGTCCAGATAAATTAAAATTTTGATAATTGGTATACATTCTTATCCACGAAAAACNTCATCCAGCATCTTCTTACGTCTTCTTCCTCCTTCCCTCTATCTTTCCTTCAATAACTTCTTTTAGAAGGCAGTTACCGCGTAAGATATGACCAATCCAATTAGCCTTCCGTTTTCTTATTTATATTAGGATATTTAAATATAGGATATTCCTCTGCTCACTGACTCTAACTAACAGTACTGTACTATTACAATAATAAAAACTAAAAATTTTATAACAAGTGAAATACAAAAAATTAATAATTTAAACATTTTACATTTGAAAAAGTGCCACAATGATATTTGTTTAGCAGTGTCACTCCTCGGCTACGGTGTTTCTGTTCATAAACAATTCGGATAACGGGATTAGCATAATCGGCGTTCTATTGTGTGCGCATTACTCGTATCATGGATATAGTATGAGGATACTAACAGAAAAAAATGTATTTAAATAAATACCAGATTTAACAGGGATAAGATGAAAGATGCAGGGAGGTTCTTTACTTTGTTGACGGGTTCCACGGCTCTGCGCTTCTTGTGAGCGGTGCGCCGTTTGCTGCGAGGCGCATAGGAATTTTGTCGATGAATCAGCACGTCCGACGGCCGGTAACATTCGGAATGAAGTAGTTACATTTCACAGATCACAGAAGGTGTTCAAATACTGCCCTTCTAAATTAGATATCTTTCGCAATCAATTGTTTCGTTAAAAAACACAGGTCCAACAATGTTTCTTGCAATTACAGCAACAAGACACCAATTCTCACTGGATGGAGCGAGACTTTGTGGGTTAGATGTGGATTCTGTGTAATCCAGTGGCGATTATTGTGAAACCACGCTTCATCAGAGAAGAATGTCAGTTGAGGATCGACCTCACTTTCGAGGGCAGACTGCAGAAACCAACCGCAAAAACGAACCCTGCTAGCTGAATCTCGCGGTTGCAAGGAGTGCGTGGTTTACTGTTGTTTTAAAGAGTCTAAGCTTCAGAAATTCTGTTGTCCTTCTTACTCTTACTTTCATACTCCAATCTCTTGAGCTAGACGTTTCGGTGATTCTCTGTTCAAGTCTGTTCAAGTTCAAGTTTGTTCATCTGCTTCTTTCGTTATAAAATTTGCCTGGAAATTTTCGCCGACACGCATGAACCACACTGCTCGCCATGAAATGTAATGCCGTCAAGCGGTTCACAATTTAATTACTTCCCTTCATTCAAAAAGATATCGGCCAACAGGCATGTTGATTCGTTGGCAAATTTCGTATGCGCCTCGCGGCAAGAAGTGCACCGGTCGTCGTGATGCGCAAAACCGTAAAACGTCAACAATTTAAAAAACTCTCTGTATACGTATCTATCGACTTTTATAAATGTATAGTTTTCCACAGTACAGGCAGAAAGGAGGCACTTGAGTGAGGTACTTAAAGTCCAAATCTATGAAGGCATAGAGGTAAATTGGAGGTAAAGACCCACTTATTCTTAACTTAGGTTACTGGCAAGTTATTTTCTCTCACACACCTATAAGATTGAATTTGTATTAATTTGCGTTCTGCCTAATTTCAGTAAATGATATTCAGAAAATTTATTTTGCAAGCCCGGGGTAAAGCTGGCAGATTTTTTATTATGTAGGGTGTATCCTATAATTTCTTGGCATGTTATCAAGAAGGCCTGTTCCTCCGAAAAGCTGATATCCACCCACTAGTCTACAAGGCGTCAGAACTCAAAAGATCAGAATCTACAAATTCACTGACATGTAAAGCTAATATGTTGTATGGGCACCAGGTAACGGCAAGAAAGGTAGAGATATTCTTGTACTTAATGAAGTAATTCTTTTTTAATTCGTATAGTGGGTCCACTCGGCACGTCGGCCACTGAATGGTCTATTGTACCTGTCCCGGGTGATTATGATGATGGAGAATTTGGTGGAATGTAGACTAGCAGGGGAAACCGAAGTACTCTGAGTAAACCTACCCCAGCGCCACTTTGTCCACCACAAATCCCACTTGACTAGACCTTGGCTAGAACCGGGCCGCCGCGGTGGGAAGCCAGCGACTAACCGCTTGAGCTATGGCGCGGCCTAACTTAATTAAGCACCATGCCATGAAAACACACGCGAGTGTAGAGTTTTATTTCCTCAATTTTGACATCGGCAATAGCCGGAAATGAGTGAGAATAAGACGTAACATATTCGCGCCTTACAGCTACGTCTTTCGCGCACTCTACAGTTGCTGACGTGGCTGATAACACGTCTCTCCACACCAAGATAAAACAAGGGTCATGCAGAAAGTGCCTCATCTGTTATGCTTATCTAGTAATCCATGTTCATCTTTTGCAGGAGGAAGCTTGACTTACCACATCGCAGAGCAGTCGAAATTCACAAGCAACCACTTATGAGGGTTGAAGTTGAAAGAGTCTGCGTGCTCTATTCCGGCCATGAGGTAGCGGAACTCCGGGCATATGAAGGCGGAGCCTGGACAAACCAAACAATCACAGTAAATACTGACAGCCACCGGAAGTCCAGAGCTCTCAAACAGCAATGCCGAAATGGGGAGAGCTTTCAGGGAAGTACAATTGGTAATGTTCGTCATTCCTCAGAGAACAAAGAGGGCCAGGTTCCTACAAGTCTAATTGTCATGACAGAACTCAACGAAGTTTCGAATGTAACTGCGCTTTGGTCATTGCGGAATTTATCTCAGAAAAAGCTAACATATCACATATTTTAGACTCAATTGAACTCACGTGAAATGTGATTCGGCTTCATAACTTGTACTCTTCTGCAAGTATAATTAGAATGATCAAGTCGAGGAGGATGAGGTGGGCAGGGCATGTAGCACGAATGACGGAGAAGATGAATGCATATAGGATATTGATGGGAAAGTCAGATGGAAAGAAACCACTGGGGAGACCAAGGCGTAGGTGCGTGGACAATATTTAAATGGATCTTAGAGAGATAAGATGGGATGGTATGGTTTGAATTGATCTGGTTCGGGATAAGAATCAGTGAAGGGCTTTTATGAAGACGGTAATGAACCTTCGGGTTCCATAAAATCCTGGGAAGTTCTTGAGTAGTTGCAGAATTGGCGGCTTCTCAAGAAGGGCTCAGCTCCATGAGTGAGTGAAATATAATTCGACTTCCTTCCAACATTCCCACTCAGTGTGCAAAAATATGTCCCGAAATTTTAAGTACCGATTTAAAAGAACTTGGATCATTCAAAATACATTCCCATTTTTCAACATGTAAGCATAGAAAATAAAAAATTCACAACTTTCTATGATGTTCGGAAACGTTAATTTCGGCGTATATTTTAATATCTTCAGTTCTGCTATGTATATCACACAGCGGCAACCTTCACAAGGCAATTTGTTTCGAAAATACGAGTATTTTGGAAATGTTACAGGTGACGTCACTGTGACTATGTACCACGTACTGACAACGTACTGACGCAGCGTAATCTGGACATCTGCATTAGGTGAAGTGGTCAGGTTCACTCTCTTGTCGCTTTACTTTTCTTTTTCCCTTCGCACTACAGCCCCAGTGGGCCTAGGCCTACCTCCATGAACTTCTCCGTCCACTTCGGTTTTTCTAGATCTTACACATTCGGTGGGACTCCTTGGGCGGGTGATCAGCTCGTCGCAAGGCCTCTACCTGTACACAAACACAGAAAAACGCACACACACACACACACACAAACTAAACATCCATGCCCTGAGTGGGATTCGAACCCACGTTCCCGGTTTCCAAGCGAGCGAAGACAGCGAGCCTTAGACCGCTCGGCTACCGTGACCGGCGTCGCTTTACCTACCCTCAGAGAAATGACAAAAGGCAGGCTCTTAAACAAAAGGTTGCGTGGGCCTCTAGAGCCGGATTGGGCGTGTCGAAGGAAGAGAAAGGTACTGCCACTTCTGGGCAAGGATCAAGACGTCTGCTGAAAATCGCATTCCTTCAGCCACGTAATCGGCAGACATATTACTGCCTGAAATATCCCTGATCATGTTTTCAAACGCAGTATGACATCCTTTCTGGAAGAATTTGTCTATTTAGGCGCGTCCACATTTCGAGTGCTCGTGCTCGTGTGACTGGTTGTTTCGTCTCTCCAGGTTCCTGTGTTTCTCATTCTCCGGCCTGTCTGACACTTTATCATAACTGGTTTCATATAGAAACCGTGATCTATCTCTAATGTTGTTTCATTGCTTAACGACCTATTAAGTCATGAAGCTGCTATTCTGCAGTCACATCCTGCTTTTGAGATATAAATTGAATTTTAAGCATTTAAAGAACAGAAATATATTATGGGTATAATTTGTAAGATTTGAGGTTTTCACGACGGTGACTATGAGGAATGCAGTCTCTTAGATGTAGCCCCGTGTAGATAGTGTGTTAACCGACGTTTCGGAGGAACGTATCGCCTCCATCTTCAGGGTATAAGAAGTCCGCGATAGAGGAACCAGCGCGAGAAGCTGGTTGCAGCCAATATCTACACGGCACCACATCCCAGAAGAAGGTGTCTTCCGTTAGTTTAATTTCTTCAGTAATGTTATTATAAGAAAATTCACTCGCTTTCGGTAGTTTAACGTAAGGGGGAGGCTTAAATGCCAAAAAATAATATGAACTGAAGGATAAAAAATACTATAGCCGCAGAGAGACCGCCGTTTGTCAACAAAGTTAGTGCAAACTTTTGCGGATAGAGAGTGTCACGTGGTCTGCGAAACGAATCCCCACCGACGTTAATCTCGGTTTTCTAGACCGGAGCCGCTATCTCCTTGAAATATCTCCTTAATTATCATCACGAGGCTGAGTGGACCCCTTTCCAGACCCACTACTTCTCATAAAATCTGGTAGCGCCGAGAATTGAACCCGGACCTCTGGATCTGTAGCCAGGAACTCTGACAACTAGGCCACAGAGGTGGTCGCTAAAAGCAGAAAGCCGAGAATACCTGGAACTACGAAATACTAAAGGAAGAAAGAAATTCAGGGGCTACGTTTCCTTCCACATCATTTCCAGTTCATTATTCACTATTCATCCTATCACTCGAAGCTATATTTGTATTCTGAGATATTCAAATCAGAAATGTTGCACATTCCGAGGGTTTCATTGGGTAATTAAGAGATCTACGGTTTATTCAGCGACTCCTGCCAACATCTCAGATTATGCCTACGAAAAACAACAAAAAAGACTCTGTGACCTGTAGTCCGCAAGCGAACTATACCGACCGAGCGACCGTTTCTTGTCGGCGAAATTAGTGCCAACTTTTGCGGATAGAGGGTGTCGCGTGGTCAGCCCAACGAATCCCCACGGCCGTTAATTTCGGTTTTCTAGCCCGGAGCCACTATTCCCTTGAAATAGCTCCTCAATTATCCTCACGAGACTGAGTGGACCCCGTTCCAGATCCACTACTTCTCAGAAAATCTGGTAGCGCCTGGAATCGAACCTTGACCTCTGGATCTGTATCCAGGAACTCTGACCACTAGATCACAGAGGCGGTCAGACTATGCTTACGCAAAGCAGAATAACAGAATTGTTATGGAAGAATGAACTGGAAAGGATGTGTAAGGAAATTATTGTAACCTAACTTGTAGTACAATCCCGTCATTTGTGTGGACGTACTGAGGAAAATCATGAACATTTTCAGCCAAGGTAGTTGTAAACTGAAAAGAGATTTCAAGCTGTGGTCTTTAGAGTATGGAAAAAAAATGTTACTTATTCAACCATCAAAGTTCCCTTCCATCTGGTATTTTTACGATGATACATCGAAGGATCTGAGTTTGACAGAAAAGGGCAGTATCTGATATAAAAGAAATATTAGTTTGAAAAATTGATCTCACGACTTTTGCTTTCTGCACGGTTATAAGGATTAAGTGAGTACTGACCTGCATAAGCAGCGTCGATATGCAGCCAAACGTCTTCCTTATTGCACACCGGACCCATCTCGTCCAACGCGTCGAAGGAGCAAGCGTTTGTAGTACCCAAAGTCGCTACGGCCTTAAAAGAAAAAAATGTTTTCCATTTCGTAAAATTTTATTTACATAATTTACATAATATTATCAATCAGAATTAAGTTTGATTCTACAAGCTAATTTGCTCTATTATACTTCGTGACGTGGAGAGGGCTTATCCAGAGATAAGTCCTCGTTAACCCTCTCTCAGTTCGGCTTGCCAATTCCTGTTTGGTCTTCGTCCTTTGTGTAGTTCCAGTAGCGGTTGCATTAGTACGTTCTCATGTCCTTCTGTTTTGTTGAGGTATCTTGTGCTTTTCCCTATTATGGCTTGCTTTACTAGCGGCACTTTCAGGCCTTCATGGAGTGTTATATTGGAAACATACCATGGCTTTCGTAAAATAGGGAACTATTCTAAATTAGTCATCTGCAAGTTACTAAAATAAGTAATGTTTCTACACTTTGTGCATTCTCTGTAAGAAATGCATTAGATGAACAAAATTTTTTGGGTTGTTATCTCAGTCCGTCTGTCTATCCGAATATTTCATCGCAGAAATTACTGAACACTTTTTAATTAACTTCGGTATTATTGGTCTATAAGTACTGAACTCAAAAACTTAAACTCCGTGGCATGTAGTCCGCAAGAGAACTATACCGACCGAGCGACTACCGTTTGTCAGCGAAGTTAGTGCGAACTTTAGCGGATAGAGGGTGTCACGTGGTCAGCGCAACGGATCCCCACGGCCGTTAATCTCGGTCTATAAGTACTGAATATTAATTAAATTGAATTTCGGTCAATTATCGATAAATTTGTTATTCTCTTTTCTAAAAAGACTCATCCCACAAAACATAGGCTCATAGTACTGATCACATAAAAACATGAAACGCTTCCTTGTAACGCTTACGATGTGATTTACTCAATTTTCATGACACAGCGTTCGTGAAGCGAAATTGTGGGTAATGAAGGGATTTTTAGGTGCTAAAAATTATAAAATCATTATTTTATATGCCTTAAAATTCAAGAAATACGCTCTAAGAGGTAGAAAATATATATATAAAGAAGTACCCATGATCACACAAAAGTACCCACCGGAAGTTAACAGCATTTCAAACAGAAAGCAAAACACTGCCGCAATGAACAACCGGAAGTCGCCCTTATGTTGTGTCTCGTAAATCTGTGTAGGGTGTCAGGGAACAGAGATTTGTATTTGGAAAATGCATATATCACGTGATACCGTCCCTGTTGGACCCCTCATTCTTCTGAAACATGAGAGCAATTTTTACTGCACTGGCTTCCAAACCTCCGTTTCTCCTGCATGTTGATTGCGTTTATTGCTTCTGACAGAAAAGTTGTGGTCTTTTCCAGCTATGATACCGCCTGAGAAAGAAGATTAAAGTTTCATGAATATAGGCCAACTCAGTTTTCAGCACCTTCAATTGATTTGAGTCATGAAATATTTCTTGCAATATTGCAAAGGAGGAAACATTGTACTTGTCAAATTCATGTACGACAAAACAAAAGATTTAAGTTTTCTGCTAAGTACGAGTACATGATGTATTCAATATTTGGACCAAAGAGAGATGAAGTCACAGGAGGTTGGAAAAAAACTGCATAATGAGGAGCTTCATAACTTGTACTCTTCTCCAAGTATAATTAGAACGATCAAGTCAAGGAGAATGAGGTGGGCAGGGCATGTAGCACGAATGCGGGAGACGAGGAATGCGTATAGGATATTGGTGGGAAAGCCAGAAGGAAAGAGACAACTGAGAAGACCAAAGCTAGGTGGGTAGACAATATTAAAATTGATCATAGAGAGATAGGATGGGATGGTAAGGATTGGATTGATCTGGCTCAGGATAGGAACCAGTGGAGGGCTCTTGTGAACACGGCAATGAACCTTCGGGTTCCATAAAATGCTGGAAAATTCTTGAGTAGCTGCAGAATTGGCGGCTCCTCTAGAAGGGCTCAGCTCCACGAGTGAGTGAGTGACATGGCGGTATCCAGAGTGGTTCCCCAGCGTTCAGTTACTGTATTTGTGAGGAGTGGCGTTTCTGAAGCTGTGTCTGGCTATTGACAGTTTCGTAAAGTAACCCACAAAGAAAACAAAAAGATTTAATCCAGGAGATGTCTCCGAGGTTGGTACCGAAGTCCGTATCGATTGGCATTCCTAATAACCGAGAGAACGGTTGAATTAGTGCGTACTGTAGGCATACTCACATAGAAAGGAATAAGCCCGTTGCGTCGGTCCTCCTGCATGGCAAACTCCAGGGTCTCCCCCCGCAACCTGAGGTTCTCGTCTGCAGGCAGAAGTCGCAGCTTCACGCCACCCAAGAGCCCGGCTCTCTCCACTGAAGAATGTGCCTCATCTGCACATACGAAAACCTGTATATTTCTCCTACTCTTGTACCTTGAAGGATAGGGCTCTCTGGCCTGTGTCCGTTCAGACTTAATTAATTTTTAAATTTGAAACATACAGACAGGGTGAAGGTGGTAGCGTAGTTGGTTGAAGCACTATGTTACAAGGCAGAAGGTCGCGGGTTCTGTTAATGATGAGGTCTTTGGATTTGACATAATACTTCCAGCCGCACTATGGCCCTGGGATCGACTCAGCCTCTAACAGAAATAAGCACCAGGATTCTTCCTGGGGGTGAAGGGCGGCCGGTGCGCAAGGCTGACAACCTCATCGCCGTCTCTGAGCTGATTCTCTAGAGAAAATGTGGGAGCCTCGATACCTCACAACCCTATGGGCCTCCATGGCCTGTTACACGGATAGGTTTACCTTTTATAGACAATTAATAGGATTCGTTGGACGTGTCATCAGGCCGTTTAAGGGCAAATGTCTATAGAGGAAAACACAGAAAAAAAAGCAGACAATCATGACTCGAGTGGGATTTGAACTCAGGATCACACTGTTTGAGAGTACGAAGAAAAATTATAGACCGTTAGGCCACTGAGATTGACAACACTCCCATATTTTGAGCAATACATATAGGTCATCGTGAAATTTGATATGTGAACCCTAAATTTGGTTGTCTCGATCTCAATGTATTTAAATTGTAATACAAATTTTACCTTGCAATTTTATCATGATCATTATCAGTCATCTTTGTCTATGATTCTGTCCTGATTAGAACAGCTAACAATGGAATATAATGCCGAAATAAAAGTCGACAGGCGTAAAGAGTTCAGATGTATTCAATGGGTGATTTTGGAACTAAACTTCGCTTACGCATTAATCCTAGTCATCAATCTGGGTTCGGATTTGTTTCCTGTGAGGTACGACCTGAATTCTTATATTTTATTCTTATACACTGCCAGTCACAGTAACCGAGCGCTCTAAGGCATGTATTGTCTTCGCTCGCTCGGAAGCCGGGATAGTGGGTTCCAGTCCCAAACAAGGCATGGATATTTGGTGTGTGTATGCGTTTATTCTGTGTTTATGTTGTCCTGTGTTCAGATAGATGCTTTGCGACGAGCTGATCATACCGTCTGTAAAAATGATTATGAAACTGAGAAATCATCCATAAGTAGGTGCAAGAAGAGAGAAAAACAGATTATTAATGAATATAGAATAGTTGTTTGGATGAAGATTGACGGGAGAAACCAAAGTTGTTGGAGAAAACCGACCGCAGTGCCGCTTTATCTACCACAAATCCTCATATCGGCCCTAGTCGGAGGTGAGCGAACAGCTTCACGCTCCGGTAGCTTCAGCTCAGTGAAAAAAGGTCCATTGGATAAGAGGGCAAAGAGACCCCATAGCCGGACTGGAGATAGCACGAAGAGAACATTTCCTTCCCTTGTTGAGAATATAACGACGGTCCTCCATTCCTTCATTAGTCATTATACTGGCTGAGTTACCCAGGATTATAACATTTTGAGACTGACTTTCCATTTCATTACAAGTGCTGTAGTTTTCGGTGTCAAACATGAACAATACCTGAACTCCGAAGTGTAGTTTGAAGTTGAACTCTGATTTTCAATCTACGCGATACAAGGCTCCCCTCTCAGCATATCATGCAGCCATTTACTCTCTAATTAATGAAATTATCTCTGGCAAGAGAGCTGACAATCACCACTCGATACAGAGTGTGTCCATGGCAACCAACTCTCTACAGCCTTCCCCGTTTCAAAGGATCCAGGTCACGTGACAATGGAGCTCCATCAGGCAGGTTTCAATACATAAATGTACTTCATTAGGGGAACCTGAGTGACCCAAGTACGTTCCAAATCGCATTTCCTGCCTCACTTAATTCCAGCCAGATTTATATATTTATACATTTCTCATGTTTAATAGAATGTACTTAACGTTCTTTTAAATTTATTCGCATATAAGATCAGCTCATCGGCGTATCAAGTCTGTTAATTCCATAAAATAAAATAAATCTTGTTATCAGGAAGCAGAAATGAGTCGCGATGGCGTAGTCGGTATAACGACTGGCTATGGTCTGGACAACCGAAGGGTCGGAGTTCGAGTCCCGGTAATTAAAGAATTTTCTCTTCTCCACGTCGTCCAGACGTTCTCTGGGGTCCACCCAACTTCCTATCAAACGGGTACAGGGAGCTCTTTCGCCGGAAGAACTAATGAAGGGGTCAAGAAAATGTGGATCTATACATCCACTCCCCCATACACCTTCATGGTGTTAGTTAAGCACAGGGACAATTTACCGAGCAATCGGTGGAACAAGAATTATCAGTCGGGATTATTCGGAAACTGATGCAGTTTCTATAACGGTGTGTTCAATAGAATACCGGATGAAGGACAAAGTTCGAAAACCCAGTAATTCTGAGTGTTATACAACGTCATCAGAAGCCTTTAGACTCTAAGAATTAGAACGGGGAAGCTAAAGTATTCGGGGATCAGCTGTCCCATGCCACTTTGTCCACCACAAATATCCCATGATCGAACGTGGGTCGTCGCGGTGGAAAACCCTTGACTTATTGCCAGAGCTAAGGTACGTCCCTTAGTTAATCAGAGTACCCAGAGGGTAGTAACCCGATATGAAAAGTATTATTTGCACTGAGATTGAGGGTTTTTGAGAACAGGGCGCTGAGGAGAACATTTGGACCAAAGAGAGATGAAGTGATATGAGGTTGGAGAAAACTGCATAATGAGGAGCTTCATAACTTGTACTCTTCTCCGAGTATAATTAGAACGATCAAGTCAAGGAGGTGGGCAGGGCATGTAGCATGAATGGGGGAGAATTAATATAGAATATTGGTGGGAAAGCCAGAAAGAAACAGATTACTAGGACGACGAAGACGTAGGTGGGAGGATTATGTTAAGATGTATCTTAGAGAAAAATGGTAAAATATTCACTGTATATATCTGGCTCGAGACAAGGGCAAGTGGAGTGCTTTTGTGAACACGGTAATGAACATTTGGATTTCATAAAATTTTGGGAAATTAGGTATACAACTGGCGAATTCTCAAGGACTCATATTCATGGAGCTAGATTGTCTGGTAGTTAGTTGGTTAGTTAGTTTGTTAGTTATACAGTACTGTACACAGTGTACTCGTCCTCAGAAAACCCCCCACAGATGTTCTACGTCTCAGTGGCTCAGTAAACACCGAGAATAATGTATGAATGTATGTTATGAACGCTGAACATCTGCTGTTACTTACTGGATGCGTAGCCCACTAGTTTGGATGTGATGATTGCTTCGCTCCAATCCGGATGCTCCTGTTTCACTCTGCGAACAGCTTTCGCTTTAGCTCCAAGCAAGGCCACTAATGTCGCCTCGCTAGCTGTACCCTGAAGCAAAATCACAGAACTGCTTGCAATTCTGAGGACGGTAATTAAATTCTGATTATGAATATGACATTGCAAGACGTAACGCACTCCCATGGCAAACTTCTGAAGTTGTATATAGCAAGTTTCTCCGAAACGTTGGTAGATATCTAATAGAATATGTTGTGTTGCGTTCTGCAAGATCGTAAAATTAAATTATCTTAATATTTACCGCTATGAGAATCTTAAACGTCGAACTTCTGTTCGGAGTAGAGAACAGATTTTGCGGGAGTTCGAAAAATTATATTCAATGCGGCATAGAAAAATCTGGGCCCTTCCAGATTTACATTTAAGGGACTAAAAATTGTCCTTGTTTAATACAATATAACATAAACTTCTTTCAAAAATTAAAAATTATTCAGATAATCAAAAACCTCACTGCTCAAATAGGAGAAAAGTTTACTAAACACCACTGGATCCTCCCTCAGCCGTTTGAATACGAGTCACACTCCTCAAGAGTAATCTTTTGGATTATGATACCGTTTGGTTACAAAACTTTCGATGTATATGATGCTTCCATCTTCAATTCCATCGTGAAAATGGAGGCAGGAGTTTCTCCCACAATCACCCCCCCCCCAGACTACATGTGCAACAACACAGATTACGCCTTGACTACTCTGAGGGGCTTACACTTCTTATAAACCGCGCTGCGTTTCCATATAATTTATTAGCATTTTAATTTACTCGTAAGCATGCCTAGTGCCCTTTCTCCAGAGAATTTCAAAACAAACTTGTGTAAGCATTTTCCATTTCTTCCTTTACGAAAATATCACGAATCCTGTCACATATCAGGTGGATCAGATTAAAAGTAGTCGGGACAGCGTAGTCGGTATAGCGAATGGCTACGGGCTGAACGACCGAGGGGTCAGTGTTCGAGTCCCGGTAGGGTCAAGAATTTTCTCTTCTCCACGTCGCCCAAGCCGACTCTTGGGCCCACATAATAGGTACCGGGGGCTCTTTCTCCCGGGGTAAAGCGGATGGGGCGTGAAGCTGACCACTCACCAACTAAAGCCGAGATCAAGAAAACGTGGATCTATACATCCACTCCCCCATACGCCTTCATGGCGTAGTGATTAATTAATTAAGCACAGGGACAAATTTACCTTAATGTACCATTACACAGAGTGAAAATGCGTCTTCAGGCAATTCCTTTCTACACGGCAGGCCAGTTTAAATGCGACAGTAGTCACCTGTCATATGCAAAACAAACATATTGTGGAACATATCCAGATCAGATTAAGTGAACAGGATATTGTATATCACAGTAGGACATCATGTCCTGATCCGTACTTAAATAAGAAATAATACATGACTCCATACTTTCACCGACAGAGAAGCATTACGCTGCTCTATATTCCAAGGTTAAAGTGTTTTATTTTGAGTTAAACAGTCTTACTGTGACATGTACACCCATTTCTAGCCAACGCCCGAATTACGCGTACGCCACAACAGAAAATTATTGTAAGAAGTGTTTCCTATATGGTCCGCGCCATGCCCATTGCTAGGTAACGGGTTGCTAAACATATCCCCACAGAAGCAAACGCGCGGAACAATAGGACATATATTGCTAGGCAACGTGGCGGTAAAAAGTCTTTGTCAACAATGCAGGCTATGTTTTCTGTGGGGTCCGGCCAAAATTGTTATAAGAGAGTCGAGTTCCGAAGCTGGGAGTTCAGTTGAGTTAAGCTGAGAGTTTCAGCTGGTGAGTGCTAACCAGAAGACAACGGAAGCGGAAGATTCTCCATTGTTAAGATTCGTACCAGAAAACGTCTAATGAAGACAATTCAGGGGACTGGCCATTATGTAGAGCTCTTACCAAGTAAAGAACGGTGGAAATAGACTAAGAAGACTTAGTGTTGAGTAATTTCTAGTGTGGAAATCACCAATACTGTTATGCTTATTTGTAGTTACGACTTGTGAGTGGTCGATAAAGCTATTCACCAATCCAAACCCCATCAAAAGTCACTAATAAACGTGATAATACTATATACAAAACAGAACCAAGTTTGCAAGTACATATATATTACGGCCAGTACGTTTTATTTTACAGATGATGGAACTTCCTGGAAGAAGAACCTGAATATGCATCAATATCCTCACAACTGTCCCCATAATATTTGTTTTAATATTATCTCGGCATCTCATCACTTTGCAAGACATTTCCCCCAAAGGAATACTGTAGGCGTTTCTTTTCTCTTCAGTCTGTGCTGTATAAGCATTCGCGGACAGTCGACAAGGAGTGGTCTCCCAAACCAGTGTCAACAATGCAAACTAATGAACTAACAAATTAACGAACTAACTATCTGACTCCATGGAGCAGAGCCATCCATGCGGAAATAAAAATATCTGTAGATAATGGCGGAATTGCACGTGTGTTCTGGTATTCAAAGGTCAGAAACGTGCTCACGTGCCACTGGGTCCCTATCCTGAGCCAAATTAATCCAAATCACATTAACCCACTCTACTTCTATAAGGTCCATCTTAACATCATCCCCCCCATCGAATTCTAGATCTTGCAAGTTGGCTCTTATCTTCTGGCTGTCGTGCTAAGAGCGCTTTGTCGTAGCAGATGATGTCCTGTAATGAAGTCTCTTAAAAATAAAAATAAAAATACGTAGGATATTTGGAAATACCTACCGTATATATATGTTTAGAAATATTTTAAATGAGAAAAATGTATGAAGAAAAAATAGCAGTCGCTGCATATTTTGTGCAGCTATGACTCAGAATTAGGCTGTAATATCTTATAAAATGAGCCTTCAAGATGTTCTTACGTACTTTAAACTCAGATTCGTTCTTATTTTATATGAACATTTTGTTCACCTTGATGCTGACGTAACGCCTAACGTTAGCGTTAAGTAGCATTATGCGGATATGGCACAGTTTATCATCATGTAAAGCATATACTACCATCGGCTCGTTGGTCTAGGGGTATGATTCTCGCTTTGGGTGCGAGAGGTCCCGGGTTCAAATCCCGGACGAGCCCATATTTTAATTTTTAATAAATGGTGCTCGTTAAAATATGAATCTTATGTAATCCATAAAGATGATAGTTTTTTTTAATTCGCTTAGTGGGTGGTGGAGTCCAGCTGAATCCACTCGGCACGTCGTCCTCTGATTGGCCTACTGTACCTGGCCCAGTTGGTTAGGATGATAGAGAATTTGGTGGAATGAAGATTGGCAAGGGAAACCGAAATACTCTGAGAAAACCTGCCCCAGCGCCACTTTGTATACCACAAATCCCACTTGACCAGACCCAGGCTTGAACCCGTGCCGCCGCGGTTGGAAGCCAGCGACTAAGAGCTTGAGCTATGTTGCGGCCATGACCCAGAATTAGGCTGTAATATCTTATAAAATGAGCCTTCAGTACTTAAAGTCGGATTCGTTCTTACCTTACATTTTGTTCACCTTGATGCTGACGTAACGCCTAACGTTAGCGT